GAGGACTAAAATAATGGTCATTAAAACATGACCTATATTAGATGATTATGACCTATATATAGATGATTACCTATAATCATCTGTGCAAGGTGGGAATTTGGGTAATCATTCTTCACCTTCCTCACACTTCTTCCACCATACCATTTGGATTTTTAAGAGCATATATAATATTTGCATGTTAAAAATTTTTTGAGATTTATCACACACGAAATGTGCAGATCCTTATGTGATTGAGAGAGGAGAGGCTGAGAAGTTGTTGTAGATCTTTATTATTAATAACTGAGTTATAATAGTTCACCCAGAAGCTATTGTGCAGTTTAATAATGCATAAGAGAACTGGCTCTTGTACCAGATGATCTGGGCTCAAATTTTACCATTGCTAACTTATTAGCTGTATGACTTCAAGCAAATTACTTAATCTGTGTCAACCCACCTCAGAGGTGTTATGAGAATTAGATGAGGGAATAGCAAAGTGGGAGGAAATGATGATGATGATGATGGTCACAGTGGTACTGGTGGTGGTGATGATAATGGGGTAAAGGAAAGAGGAAAAGCTGCTCCAGATATGCTACACATGAACAAGGAGGCTTGTCTGAAACAACTCTGGGTATAAGGCTAATTCAAACCATCTGTCCCTTCACTGGATACACTCCTCACAGAGCAGCAAGGTCTACCTCTCTAGGGGTATTAAGACCTTCTAGCACATTCTTGCTCATCATTGACCTCACTTCCCAGCCAGGATAATCTGTATCCATGCACCACCCTCTCTTACCTCCATATCCAAAAGAATGTGACTTCTTCAGCCTTGAAAGTCCTGTGTTCTCTAACAAACTGGGTTCCACCCTTCTCTTTAATGGTGCTCATTAAGCCTTATCCAAGTAGATCCTCTTGGTTCTAATTAGTGTTTCCTATCCTAGCCCATCCTACTCTACTCTATTTATCTCAGTGCCTAGATAAGTCTTTGAAATACACTTATGTTTGAGGGGTATTTTTATTCCCAACCACTTCAATATTAAACTCTGATTTGGATGTATGTTCTTAAAAATCATCCACCTACCCACCCATCCATCAACCATCTATCCCTTCATGAATGACAATAATAAGCCAAGCATTGTGCTGACCCTAAGCCAAGGTAGATATCTGAGACTGGGAAGTACCATTACACAATCAAGAGCTAAGTTATTATGAAGTTTAATGGTTCTAATAAGATTCACTTTTGCTCGACTTCCCTATACAACTGAGGTTGACTTTGTCTTACTGCCCCTTGTTTTTACAGATATGTGGTCAACTTGGTTTCCTTTTCTCTTCTCCTAAGTACTATTCCTGACAAAAATATTAATAGCACTAAAAGAACATTAAGAATATTTTTTGTTTTATTCAATTTTTGTTGAATCTTTTTTAAATTTATTTTTAATTAACATATTTATTAACATAATAACATATGTATTATTATCCCCAGGGGTACAGGTCTGTGAATCGCCAGGTTTACACACTTCATAGCACTCACCATGCACATACCTTCCCCAATGTCCATAACCCAACCACCCTCTCCATACCCCCCTACCCCCGGTAACCCTCAGTTAAGAATATATATATATATATTTTTAAAGATTTTATTTATTTATTTGACAGACAGAGATCATAAGTAGGCAGAGAGGCAGGCAGAGGCAGAGGGAGAAGCAGGCTCCCTGCCGAGCAAGGAGCCCGATATGGGACTCGATCCCAGGACGCTGGGATCATGACCTGAGCCGAAGGCAGCTGCTTAACCAACTGAGCCACCCAGGCGTCCCAAGAATATTTTTTATTAAAAAAATCCATCACCCTAATAACAGTTGCTTTCTTGTGTCTTTTGTGTTTTTGCATGTGTTTGTGTGAATTTGCATAGTTGGAATCATAACACACATATACTCTCATATCACCTCTTTACTTATTAAGCATTTTTGTGGACTGAGTATTTATGGTGTCGATAGCAGTAAAAACACCGAAAGAGTGGTCCTACCATGGTTTACCCTCATTGCGCTATGGATGAAAATGCAGATTATTCCCATTTTAAAAGATAATTCATTAATGAATGATCCACTCGTATGGATCCTTTTTCTTATTTTTGATTATGGACTTGAAATATTTTTTCCAGCAACGGGATTATCAGAGCAAAAGCTATGGAAAAAACTTAAGGCTTTGAGTAGTGATAGAGCTTTTTCGAAAGAAAGTTAACAATTAAACATGCGTAAAACCAACACTTTATTATCCACACTAATGGAAGGAGGTAGTGTTGAACCTAACAAGTTATTTCTGTTTGCAACTGGGAGGCCAAATATTTACACATACTTTTACACATTATTTGTCTTCTTAATTATGCTTTGCATGCTTGACAGAGAGCATGCAGAAAAAAATGAGATCAAGTATGTTAAAGTATTCTGAAATATTAAAAGACCAATACAATACAATTTGAACCCTGCTGGGGAGCACGGGAACATCAGTCATGTAATTCCAACTCAGCCAAAAGTCATCCCCACACAGGGATACTTGGGTGGTATCTACGTCCTCTCCTACAGTATGTTGTGATTCCATTCAGACCTCAGTCCTCAAACAGACAAAGGGAAGTAGTATCAGTAACTCTCACCTAAATTCTTTTCTCCACCATTCCAGATGTACAAAATCATCGTCATACTGCATGCTGCAAAACTAATCATGAAAAACAGAAACCCAACTGTCCAAAGTGCAAGAAGGAATGGACTGGGAGAAAGAAAATGAAAATCTCATATTAGAACTGTCTACTAAAGATTAAAACGAAACTACAAATATTTATAAACCCTTTTAAATCACCACACTCCACCTATTTACACTGAAAGGCTTTCAAAAGCTTGCCTTTACTCCCAGCACACATAAGACCAACGAAATCACCATGGCTGATCTCAGCAGCTTCCTACGTGGCCTGCATTCCCTAAGTGTGAGATCTATGCTGCTGTACAAGACATTTCAGTTGGCCCAGAGACACATCCTTCAAAAATACTGTGTCACAACATAAGATATTCCCTTCACATTCTTTTCAAAATTGAGTTATAGTTAACATACAACATTGTGTAAATTGAAGTTATAGACATACTGATTTGATACATTTAATATTGCCCTATGATTGCCAAAGCAGCATAACACCTCTATCTAGTACAATACTAACCATTTCTTCTAATGTTAGAAACAATTAAAATTTACTCTTAGCAAGTTTGACTATAATACAGTTTTGTTGACTATAATCCCAGTCTCTTCAAAGCTTTGTGGTAGCATCTAAAAGAAGTGCACTTGGTATTAGCATGTCTTCAATTAACAGTTGCTAATTTCCCTCTTTTTTTACACAGAAAAAAAAAAAAAAACCCAACTATAAATGCAAATGTTTTAGCAAGAATAGGTATCATTAGAAATGACCTATATAGGGGCGCCTGGGTGGGTCAGTGGGTTAAGCCTCTGCCTTCAGCTCAGGTCATGATCCCAGGGTCCTGGGATGAGCCCCACATTGGGCTCTCTGCTCGGCAGGGAGCCTGCTTCCCTCCCCCCCCACCCCTGCTTTCCTCTTTGCCTACTTGTGATCTCTCTCTGTTAAATAAATAAATAAAATCTTAAAAAAAAAAGAAAAGAAAAGAAATAAAAAAGAAATGACCTATATAGCTTTGTTCCCATTTCATTTATTTTTAGGGTTCCTGTAGTCCAGTAAGTGACACTGGTTTACATAGTAAGAAATGTATTTACCTTTTTAAAGGTAATCTGGCAAGTAAAGAAAGTGAAATGAATCGAAGTAATAGTAACAGCAATAGTAAGCAGAACAACTGTTATGGAAGTATGACCAAAATCAATAGGGTCGGAGGTGACAACTAAACTTCGGGAAGCTGCTTAAGCCTATTTATTCTGCATGGTCATCTTTTTAATGTCCTGCTCTCCTCAACTTGACAGGGATATACATAAGGGTAAAGGGTTGTATTTTAATAACACATCTTACTTCAATTTCTAGGTATCCTATATAGAAGCAGACAATCTAGCAGTTCAGATTTCAAACAATTAAACTAGACACACTAAGACCATCAAAAATATTATAATTTCAGGTTTGCTTTATCTTGATTTTTCATTGGTCCTTATGTCCATTTTAAAAATCGTTATACTTTAACTTTGCTCTATCTCGGTTTCTGAATGCTTTGTAATCATTAATGACTTGGAACACTTCAGCTCTGTTTTCCCCTCTGTCAAGTATTTGACATTTGTAAAGAATACTGCAGATATTCTAATAAACAGGTAAAGTGAACCTTTATAATGCATGGATATGGGGAATCCTTCTGACCGGTAAAGTTATTTTACTCATTTATCTGTTTGCTAAGATACTCACAGCTAAAGAGTTAAGCATTCTCCATACTAATGTAAAAGGCTGTGTCCACCCTCTGTTCTACCCCTACTTCATCTGATTTGCCTGTCTGGGGGATTCAGGTTGCTTTTCCCACCACTCGGGTGGAAGTATGCTTTGCACAAAAATAGCTTTATCAGTGGGAGGCCTCCCAGCTCTTCAAACAACAACAACGACAATGACAATAACTGCCACCATTCAGTCACATTAATCAAACTAGGAATACTCTTGACAATCTTCTGGCTGGTAGCCCATAAGCTGAGTAAGACTATAAAGATACCTATCAATCTTCTTATCACTGCCCAACAATGCAGATGATCTGGAAACTTGGCATAAAGGGTCTTGGCTTTTCCATTCTTTTATCCCCCTAATTCTTCCATAGAGTTAAAAGCCAAAAGCAATCCCACCCAAACAGTACATAGTGAATTCCTATTTACTCAAGAAAACTCCAGAGAACTGAAAAGAGGCTAAAGGATGCAAAAAATGAAAACCAACAAAAACCTGAGAGCACAGTTTTGTACTTGCCAAGGTAAAATTCACATGGAGTTAACCAAACTCAAAGCACCTCAGTCAAATTTCAGTAGAGAATGAAATACCCAGTAAAATCTGCATTAGATACACAGACAAAGTTTTATTTTGGAGATAATTTCCGTGCAGTTTACCACCACTCACATCTCTCCTTGCTCGAACCTTTGAAGTTCCTCATTAATTTGGTCTCAGTACCGACCACACAAGTACCTCAAAGGGTAAATGATATTTTTAACAAAGCCAGGAGTGTTGAGGGTGAGGAATATTGGCCAGAGTTCGAAAGATGTGTAATTTCCACTGGGAGATGAATCTGTCATCATTTTTGTTTAATAGACACTGAAAATGAAAACAACAAATTTGGAAGAGAACATATAAGCAGAAAAAAAATGAAGAGACTATGAAGAGTAAACTGAAATGGGACATGAAATGGCTGTCATTTATTTAATTTCATTTCAAAGGCAAGGACTTCAAAAGTTGAATATTTTCAACACAGACCAGTTCTTCCTTGTGGGAGAATCAACAAAAATATCAAATATTCTGGAAACTAATCTTAGCTCCTACTAGGATTAACTGTATGGCCTTGGGCTAGTCATTAAGTGATTCATATCCCAATTACCAAACTGGTAATTAGGAATACCAATAGGTCAAGAGACAGGCTGAAATTTCCTCAAACTCTCAGGGACAGCACTACTCCCTGCTATGCCATGGTTTCCCTTTATGACAATGGAACTTTTAACCTTTCTAGACTCCTTTAACATCCAACAAATAGTGACTGTCTACTATATGCTCGACCCCTGATCTAACTAACCACTGGGGAGACAAAGGTGAGTTAGATAAAACCTAATTCAAGAAGTGACATTCTAAAGGCAGGAGACAAATCATAAAAAGCACACAGTGTAGGCTGTACAGGAGATTTGCAGGGTAATGTGACAGAAGGTCCCACAGGCTGGAAAAAAGACAGTAATGTTATAAATAGGGCCATGAGAAAACACCTCTTTGAGAATGTGACATCTAGCCTAAGAACTGAGGAATAAAGAGTGAGCTAAGTAAAAAGGCATGTTAAAAGCCAAAAGAACATTGCAGAGAGGCAGAAGGATGTGTGCAAAGATCCTGAGGTGGGAAAGAGCTTTGGTGTGCTGGGGAATAGAAAGATAGCCAATGATGCTGGCCTTTCTAGTCACACCAGGGATTTGGGTTTCACTGTAAATGAGTAATTCCCCAATGAGCCACTGGGGAACTGCTTAAGTTAACTACTTTTCTCATACAGTTTAGCCTTCTTATGTGGCCAAACATTAAGCTATTTTTTGGTAGGAATTTCTCTCAAATCCTATCATTTGATTTTCAATTCTTCAACTGAGTATGTGGAATACAACCTTTTCTTGTTGACTTAGGCTCATTACTAGTATTTGATTGCAGTAGCCATGAGGAGGACAAAGGTGTCTGAACCATGTTTTTATAATACAATTCCTTCTCTTCTACCAAAAATTACTTCCTGTGTCCATCAAGTTATCATAGCTTTAGCTGTGACCATCAGGCTATGCAGGACACTGCCTTTTATATGCAATCAAGTGCCTGAATTTTTTAAGTTACTGCTGTCCAGAGCCCATCTCCATCACTAGGCCCTTGGAATACTTAAAAAAAAAAAAAAAAAAAAAAAAAAAGATTAACCTCATTTAGTGGTCTTTATTTTAGGATTCACAGAAGTGTCACAGATGGTAAGTTCTGTCCAAAGTTTGTCCTGTTTGGCAATGAGGTAAATTAGGAAGTTGGGTATGATAGGCCGAATTCTAAAGATGGCTCCTCTAAGATTTCTGCCCTATGGTTGTTCAATCAAACACTAATTTAAGTACTAGGTTAAAGGAGTTTGAAGATATAATTATAGTCCCAACTCAGCTAACCTTAAAATACAGAGGCTACCTGGGTGGGCCTAATTTACTCACGGAAGTCCTTATTTAAAATCAGAGTTTCCTCAGGTAGGTAGCAAAAAAAAGTATCAGAGGGATTTCAAGAATAGGAAGGTTCCACATACTGCTGTTGGCTTGAAAATGGAAGAGGCCTCATGACTAGGAATGCAGGACTGCCACTAGATGATACAGTGGGCCCAAGTTGACAGAAAGCAAGGAATTATGGACTCAAGTCCTATAACCATGACAGACTGAATTCTGTCAATCACAGGAGTACAGTGTTTAGGACTCTGAATCCAGATGTCAACACGACCAGCCAACACCTTGATTTCAGGGTGGGCAGAGAACCCAGACACATCATGCTGGATTTCTAAGCATCAGAACTCTGAGGGGTTGTTTTAAGACACTCAGTTTGTTTGTGGTGATTTGTTACACAGCCATAGAAAATTAATATATTGGGTAAAGTGGGTGTCCTAAAAGTTTGCCAAGTTAATGATAAAATGAACAGATAAATGAGCTCTTACTACATCATTCTTACAAATGTCCACATAGGGAGCACCTGGGTTGCTGTGTCGAATGAGGATCTGCCTTTGGCTCAGGTCATGATCCCAGGGTCCTGGGGACTGAGCCTTGCATAGGGCCCCCTACTCAGTGGGAAGTCTGCTTCTCCCTCTCCTTCTCCCACCAACCCCCACTTGTGCTCTCTCTCTCACTTTCTCTCTCAAATAAATAAATAAAATCTAAAAAAAAAAAAAAAAGTCCATTAATAGCATGGCATAATGAAAAGTGCATCAACTTAGAAGCCAGAAGTCCTGGGTTCTAGTCCTGGTTTTGCCACCTAGTGCTTGAGAGATCTGGTGAAGAATTCACTTTCCTTCTCTGGACTTTTCTTCTTCTATAAATGAAGGAAATGCTTAAATTGAACGTTAAGATCTCTTTCAGCTCCAGCAGTCTGTGAGATTAATCATCCCTTATTATATCAGAAAACTGAACTAAAAACAAATATGCACATTTTTCTCTATATTTCAAATGATACACATCTTCTCCTGCAGATTAGCATGTCTTAATCTCAAGGTCACAAATTTTTAAAGAAGGCTGCAGAATAAAAATCTGCTAATATTGCTTATTTTTTAATATATCAATATATGATTACTACATTTATTTTTAGCTTTGATTATACCAGCATCTCAGAGGCTTTTCAGTCTTGCAGTTAACTAAATATTTAGGCATTTTATTTTAGAGAGCTTATCTTTGCATAAAAACTGAGTCAACACAATCCCAAAACTTATTTTAAACATAATCTGGGTACCATATCAGGGTGGAAGGAGAGGGATTTATATCTAAACACATGACTTAAAGTCTAAAGAATGTTTGTTGAATAAAAAATGGTCATCAAAGATTGAGACTTCTGTTCAAATTTTCATATCTCTCCTTTGAATTTTTCATTACTGATTTTTTTTTTAAACAAATGGAGAGAAGGGCCCTTATATATATTCCCCTCTGTTATTTCAAATGTAGCTCATGTTATATTAAAGTTGCAAGTTACTCTGGACTAAAACATTTGGAAATAAAAATCTCTCTAGAAAAGTTATGTGGAGTCTATGCTGCAGTTGAATTATCTTTCTAGACTGGAAACTAGAGCATGTCCACAAAGTAATGTGTGAAAGTGGGAGGATCTGGGAGTCACAGGAATTTACAGTGTTTGATAGGCACAAGTTTCTGTAATTCACTTGCTAAATTCTCTGTACTTAGAGCTGAGCTCTAAGTTGTCACACAAGAGTACTTGTGCACATTCTATTAAACGTAGGGCACACTGCAATGCAAGAAGATATTTCCCAATACACAGCAACAGGAATAAGAAGAGTGCAGTGCAAAAATCTAGATCAAACCAGAAAATATTATCCTGGGTGAGAGAATCTAGAAACCTGTACCCAAACCCAGTGGCTATCATGCATCATGTACCAGAAAGGGGGCCTTGTTACCATTGGATAGTTGGTACAAAGACAAAGCCATAAGGTGAATATTGATAACGTGAAGACCAACACTTTACGGTCAAATGGTGGCCCTTAGGTGGTAGTAGGGTGACTAGTATGACTTTATCTAGAAAGATGAAATAATCAAAATAAAGTTCCTTTAATTAAGATATAAGTTCTTATTTTAACTGTGCACAAAATCTTAATAGAATAATAATGGGAAATACAATTTTTCCTTTAAGATTTTATGATAATGCTGTAAGATAATCTTTAACTTCAACTTTAACAGCATTATCAAAAAGATGGTCAGTCCACTTTGGTGGACTTCCTGAAATCCCACAGCTTTTATAAGATTTATAATTTCTCTTTCTCTTGCTTTTGATGTTTATCTGCCATTTGTAGAGAGACCAGGACACAAAGAAGATGTCCTAAAAATAAATGAAAGTGTTAAGCAAGGAGGACAACTGGTTGAGCTATGACTAATTTTATTAGTGGTCTGTCATCAGTTAATGTTTTCAATTAATCATAACTTCTGCTTCCCCAAGTAAACTCCTGACTTTAGGGACTAAGATAATGAAAACATATAAACAAGAGCCCCTAACCCCATAATTATGCTTAAAACCTTATGCACAGCTTCATTACAAAGTGTGGGTTTATGCATCCTCAACTAATCCTCTGTTGTCTTCAAAAGTCCTAAATAAAAGAAGCCCTCCAGAGATTGTTCTACAGAAATAACTGGGCTGGCTGAACTCCACTCACTGTCACAGCCAAGATTCTGGCATTTAGAGCAAGCAAAGGCAAGTAAGCAACAAGCTTCACAAGGATTTACTCCGAGTGTGCTACATGTTACGTGGGGACAGCATGAGACGTGTCCTGGACCATAAGACTGGCTACAAGGAGTATTTGGAACTAGTCATCTGGAACTGGTCAGTATTTACTTCCATTTTCCCTATTAGAGGCCTACTGAGTCTTTTAGTGTTAATAACCTAAACAAGGTTCTTGATATAAAACATTGCAAGATGTCTTCTTCAGTCATTCCTGGGAGAGTTTTCCCAACAGTGTCAAACAAGGACATGCTCTTTTATAATTCGTGGTGCCAGAGATTTGCAATTGGGTGGACTCAAAGGACCTATAAACCCCCATAAATGTTATGCCAAAATTTCTTTCCTGGGTACATTCTTCTTTTGTTTTTTGTTTTTAGATAGTCCATAATATTCACTGGATTTTTAAAGGAGTCTCTAACTCTCTCCCATCAAGAAACCTCCTGTCCACATAATTTTTCTCCAGGCTAATCACAGTACATCACTAGGGATTTATATATACCATCTTACTTCTGTTTTTTTTTTTTAAGATTTTATTTATTTATTTGATAGAGAGATCACAAGCAGGCAGAGAGGCAGGCAGAGAGAGAGGAGGAAGCAGGCTCCCTGCTGAGCAGAGAGCCCGATGCGGGGCTCGATCCCAGGACTCCAAGATCATGACCTGAGCCGAAGGCAGCGGCTTAACCCACTGAGCCACCCAGGCGCCCCGGGTTTTTTTTTTTTTTTAAGATTTTATTTGTTTGAGAGAGAGAGAATCTGAAGCAGATTCTGCACTGAGCACAGAGCCCAATGTGAGGCTCAATCCCACAACCACAAGATCCTGACCTGAGCCAAAACCAAGAGTCAGATGCTCAAGTGAGCCATCCAGGTGTCCCCATCTTGCATTGACTCAACAACACCTTTTTCCTAGAACTGAAATGCACCTTATAATCCTTGTTTATATTTAATAAAATATTTCCTTTGTGCTCCCCAGAAGTGATTATTAAATTGACAGGTCTCTGAATTGATGACATTTAAACAATACCAGAATTAGGCCTCCATCAAATATATTAGTAAATAGGCAAATTGCATGTTCCTGAACCACAAATTAAAAAAACTAAGAAAGAAGTTTCAGTGTCCCATGGGGACACAGTGGGCACCAGAACACCAGGAACACATTTAAGTTGATGCTCTATCAACACTGGACACTATTCAAGTTTCATGCACTTACTCAATGTGTCTGGAGTGGACTATGTGCCAGATACTGTGCTGCTGGAAAGTTACTGATCTAGGCAGAGGACCTGGCAAATTCCCAGGAGGGAGCATGCAGAGATCCCAATGGGAAGTGGGAAATCGGGACTAACAAGGAAGTGGAGTGTTTTTAGAAAGAAAGAAAACAGAGCTGGAGAGAGAACAGGACCAAATGAATGACTCCAAAAGGGCTAGATTGAGTGGGGAGCATAATTCACCAGCCCAAATGAAAATATATTTATAACATAGAAGAGAGGTAACATTGTAAAACTTCAATTACAATAACAAAGGGACTCTATCAGAAGCCAGGGACAGACATCAGGTCAGCTAAAACTCTGACCATAGGAGCAGGGAAAGAAAGCACAGCCTGGTGCTCTAAATTGGGTGAATATTGTAATAAGTCCTGAGTGGGGGAAAAATCTCATTTTATGGGAACTAACATTCTTTTATTTTATAGAAAGAATGGGGTTAACAGATCTTGACTACTTGAGTAATATCCCCCAAAGTCTGGGTGCCCTTTCCCAGAGATGGGCTAAAGGATTAAAACATGTAATGTTTGCAAATCCCTTGTTAAGAAAAACAAAAACAAAACAAAACAAAAACATCTCTGTTTAGATATCATACTTGCTTGCTTTGTACCATCTACAACCAAATAGGAGGAACATGCCTCTCAGTGGTCCAAAGGAGGCAAAAGGTTTGAACAGATACCATGAGAGACCAGGTTTGCAAAAAGCAATTCTAGTGTTCGTATATCCCACCCCAACTGGACTCTGCCCACCAAGGATCTGAAGGAAGTCATCTCTCATATCGGAATGATAACCACTATATGGCTCCATCCCACACGGATGGTTGAAGCTCACCTTCAGGCAGAGATATGTAAGATGTAACAGAGATGTAAATGCTGCATGTCTTAAGATAAAAGGGAGAGTCAAACTTTTCTGGTTTGTCTCTCCTCAACTGGGACTCTGTAAGTTCCACCTAACCAAAAAAAATAAATAAATAAAAATAAAAAATAAATAAAAGAACAGTCCTGTCCATATAGGATAGGCTGCCTTAATTTTGTCAAGTCCTGAAATACTGAACTAGCCTGACACACAGAGTGTCTGCCAGGGTCAGGAATTGAAGAACCAGCCAATTAGAAAAGGTGGTGAAACAAGCAGGTACTTGAAACAGATACTCATAAACCTATGAGGAGCCAAGCTCTGAAGCTACAAAATACCACAACCGTACACATATGTGGTATACATTTATATGCAGAATGCCTCCGTAGACTTTCCTGCGCTGAGGTGTTAAAAACAGAACCAGTTGTTCAGTTCAAAAGAACTAAGCACTACAGTGGAACTGGAATAAGGTACCAACAGAGAAGGGAAAAAGGAACCATGACCCATGGGCAGATGCCTAACCTGTGTACTTCTTAACTCTCTCACTACCATACAGTGGGTAGGACACTGTTTATACTAAAAAAATGTTCACTGGAATTGAATCCCAGAGGTTAAAAATTTTGAAGAGCAGCTTACTTTCCTCTCACATGTTAACGAAGGAGAGAGCCAGTAGGATTCCAGTGAGGGACATCCTGGGAGGTGTGGGTGCTCATTTTGTCAAGCTAAACCCCAGCATGACTTAAGGAC